TGTGTGAATGAACACATTCTTTTTCTTTGCAATTTAGAATCTTACGCAAATTGCCCTATCGACTAAGCATTTTGTCGAAATCGTCTTATCATTCGATTCGTGACATTATATTCATGCGCAAGATCCTTTATATTTCCACCAGACTCTAATTTATTTAAAATATCTAAACGATCAGCAATATTCAGTTGTTTACTAGAACTGAAATCGGTCATTTGATTAAAATGTAAAGATTTGTACTTGATTACTATTGTGAATTAAAAGTCACTCACTCTGTTAACTTGTGAATCACTTTCTGCCTTTCCTTTTCCTCTTTCTTTTTTCTATATGTGATTTCTTTTTCCTTGAATTGATTTTACTGCTGTCTCTGGGATAAGATTTCCCTATAACATGCATTTAACATTAAATTTAGATTGATTAGTGATTGCAAAGTGTTATACATGAGTTTCGTGTTGGTGGTGATTGCAGGAAAAAATTTTCAAAAAACCTGCAGTGCTTGTTTGTGATCTTGATTGTGTGTGAACTTGAGTGATTAATAGTGTTTTATTACATGTTTTGAAAGCCTGGTCTTAACTTTTAGTGGTATGTTGGTGACGTCGTATATTCTGGTGTTGCTAATAAGTGAATTATGGTAATGGATATGCTGTTGCGAGTGAGCTTTGAATGTATTCCTGAATGGTTCCTATTTGCAGCAACTATCTAAATTTGGTTCTCATGTGATACATGTTTTATAGTTCCAGGTGATACATGTTCCAGGTGATACATGTTTTATAGAGGTTTAAGTTCAGTTTTGAGTTCGCTGTTGCTTGAAATGAGTCTGCGGTGTGCAGGATATGCTAAGTTGGTTTTTTGTCTATTGCAGGAGCCCATGTTTAAGAGTCGAGGATGATTCCTAGATACTTAACAGTGTAGGTTCAGATAATATTTTGATCTGCGATTATGACTTTGAATTAAAAAAGTGATGACTTGCGTCATTTTGAGATTTACAGTTAATTTCCAATTTTTGAAATACTCTTTTGAATGTATTTGGTGCCTCTTCCAAAATTCCATGTACAGACGTATATTGCAGTGTCATCTGCATAGATGTCGGTATGTGCATTTTGTGCTCTAGGGAGATCGTTTATGTATAAAATGGAAAGGAGAACATGGTTACCGAGTATGGTTCACTGTGAAAAACTAGCTCTGAAAAATTTTATTGCTGAATTTGTACCATTTGTAGAGGCATAGAAGTTTCTGCTGTGGAGGTAGCTGTTTATGATGTTGATGAGCTGTGCGGGAATATTTATTGCATGTAATTTAATCAATAGGGCGCTATGCCAAATGGAATTGAATGCTATTTGGAGGACCAGTAATATGAGTTATTTTTTTCTTGTTTCGTTCTATTATGATATGTTCTGTGACGCGCTGTAACTGAAGTATACATGAGTGGTTTTGTCGGAAGCCGAATTATTACTTCAGATTTGTCGATGAGGGAGGAAATGTTGGTAAATGATTTTTTCAAGTATTTTGCCTAAAATGTTTAAGGGCTCTATAGCAGAAAGTGCATACTGTGCGTTTCCCTGATTTCAGTTCATTGGAATAATTTTTACCACTTTTCTAGAAGTTAAGAAATAGACAAAATTTAAGTAAGGTCTGTAAATGTAGTATAATTGTACTATAGGTTTGGTAGGTTTTTTAATTTCATGGCGGTTATTTTGACGGGTCCGAGAAGGGATTGTCGGGAAGTTTCTTTATTATGTTTCTGATTATTCTAGGAGTGAGGGATAGCAAGTTTTTTTGGAGGGAGTTGGAGGGACCGCTCTGGTAACTGTTGCTGTTCAATGTCCTGTTCTAGAGGAGGGTATGTGTTGTAAGCGTTCAAGTGTACCTATTCAAAATTTTGAGCTAGACTTCAGATTTTTCCTCATCCGAGTAAAGAATTATGTTGTGTCCTGAAGTACGAGTATTTTAGTTTTGAAACCTTCAAACCAGTAATTTAGTATGTTTGCGATAGCAGACATTTGTGT